ACGTGAGTTCGTTTAATTCGAAAGTTTCGGACCGATTTTAATAGCTGTTTCATAACTGGCGATCGTGATTCAGGAGGCGGAAGCGAATGGCGAAAGTTTCGAGCCGTCTTCATCGCGATCATGCAGTCCATTGCAATTAAATGCAGACGAAAAGGATTTAAAAATCTTGGAATTCAAATAAAGTTTATGCATGACAATTGGACTCAACAGAATATTTTAATCAACCGTTTTTTAATCTTTATAAGTTACCGATTGATCCTTTGAGCGTTTTATTTCATTTTGTGAATCTGCACGAGTAAGTGCATTTGCTGTGAAATATTGAGAGAAATTATGACGATAATATTCTAGTTTTTTTGTAGAAAATCATGTTCTGTTATAAATATTTATTATAAAATTAATTCATTGTATTGTTTCACTGTGTTATTTCATAAAATTAATATTTCATGAAAAATTATTCATAATTACAATTGACGGGAATTTTCTTTCGTCCCGAAGATATTCTAAAAATGCGTATTGAAATTATGAATATGTTTCCCTGCCCGTTTTACCTAAATTCCACATCAACAACCAATGCGAACCTTTTTCTACTATACGAGTACACTCGTCGTTAAACAAAGAGGACACTCGTCCTTTCACGACGAATATATAGCGCGACATAAACGTCCGAAGAAAGAAAGGACTCGAAGGTTTCGCAAAGCGTTCGAATAAATTCCAAAACGAAATAGAATTTTCCCCACGCGAAAGTCAAACTTCCGTCGAATAACAATCAGAGAAATGTCCAACCTCCTTGAACCTACCCCATTCAGTCCAGAGCTTCCAAGAACCAGATCTCAATCTCTCTCTCTCTCTCTCTCTTTCGACAACTTGGCCGCAAATTAACAGAACCGTGAAACAACTCACCTGCTGAAATACATCCGTGAAATGCTCGCGGACGCTAGGGGTAGAACAGCTAGGGTTGCGATTATTGTGACCCCACTCAGGGGTCGAGGGCTGGCCCCGAGTTTTGTGCGCCGGTGGCAGGGGCGTAGCGGAGGATTTCAAGTCGACGGAAGAAGTTAAACGGAAGGAATTCAGCGAATTCCGCCGGTATTGGCATCAGTGGTCGGCTGAGTCAGCGTCAGTGGAACGCGTTAGACGAAGGGAGGAACGAATTCTCTTGTTTTTTTTTTTTTCCTTTTTTTCTTTGTCTCTCCTCCTCTTTTTTTTTTTTTCTTTTTCTTCTTGTCAGGGGTTCGCCTCGAAATAACCACCCGTCGCTTTCGGGCTTTAGCCCGACGGCGATGAAGTGCACTTATAAACGAAGTGCAGCCAGGAAGCCAAGCGCATATGGTTGCAGGAGAGAGGGATCTCGATGATGGTGCGCCACGTGTTCGAGGGTCGATGCACCGTTTCGTTTCGTTTCGTTTCGTTTCTCTGTTGTTCCTGCTCGGGGGCGGCTGGCGTGTTCCTCCACCGATCGTGTCCCCTCGAGCTCGTCGCGGCCAGGCGAGAGAGGAAAAAAGCCAGCACATTGGGTTAGGTTAAGCACGTCCTGTGCTTTCTCTATCGGGCGTAAACAATGCGGCGAGAGTGACGACGATTTAAATAAACCTCCCCCTCGGATGTTGAACGAACCTCGAACACGTTCCCAGCGCGTATCGCTGGTGGGAAGCGAATGGTTGCGCGAAACCCGCCCACGCGTTTTCGAAACGCCTCTGTGAGAACGGTCCTTTCGAATTTTCCCGCGAATACTCGGAGTATTCGGTCAGCGCCACCTGCGAATGATGAGATTGTAAAAAGTGTATATAATATATTTTTAATAACAACAACATATATAATATATTCTTAATTATATATACTATTTTATTATATATTATATTTACATACAATTACTTGTAATTATGTTATATATATGTTGTTATTATTATTATTATTATTATTGTGTATACACAATTTTATACACATATATAATTGCACAATTTATACAACTATACGCTTGAACAGTTTGACGTTTATTTAAAAGTTAACTGCAGCTCGTCATATAGAATTTAATTGATTTCCGTCTTTTTTTTTTTTATATTTTCGCGTGTCCTGTTGTTAACAGTTTCCCGGGGCTTATCTAGCTTTGTGACCTGCGTCAATGAAAAGTAGTTTAGTCTTTTTTTTTTTCTTTTTCACCTGTTTTTGTTGTTCATTGTAGTGGGGTGAAGCAGGAAAAGTTTCAAAAATGATCTGCATCTTCTATGTATGTTTTTGACTTTCGTCATTATCTTCCGAGTGTCATTCATAGTCTTCAAGTAGCACCCTCATTTCTTCGAGGGATTTCGCAGAAAGATCCTAGAAGATTCCTTTGTGTCTGTTTTATGTTTTCTCTTTAATGTGAATTCCGTACTGCCGACTTTTTCCTTTACAAGATGTTTCGACATTCTATTGCATAATGGTGCAGTGAAACTCGACCTCGTCGTAGTTACATTGATAAGGTGTT